GAAGCACTTGATGGTAAAGAGCAGGAGAGTGGGAGAAAGTTAGCAGGTGGTTTTTGCCAGTGCTCAAGCTGTTTATCCTGAATGGCTAAGCAAGGGGCACACTCTTTATTCACAAACCTTCCCACATCAATGATGTTGCATCAGCTAAACTGTTGACCTGAGGATTCTTTCAACTCCCCATGGAAACTCATCTTTTAGCCAGGCTTTTTGCTAACACTTTATGTGCCTGATTATTTTTCCCTTTTAAACCCAATGCCCATTTAACTTCCTGGGAAAATGTAAGGCAACAACCTACTGCATGCAAATCATTGGGCCAATAGATCTAAGTACCTGGCCAAATGAAGTCTGCTTAAAAGAGCAGCTGAAATAGTTGCTTATTGCTGCTTCTCAAGGCACATGGCGCCAAGTTAGAGTCAACAGCTGAGAAATGGGGTGCCTTTTCCCTATACGAAGAAATGGAATATGGGGCAGGGAGGACGGCAGCATGCATGAAGAAGCAACTCACAATGCCCTGCATAGCCTTTATGAGTCCCCTCTGGAAACGTCACTTGAATGATAAAAAGAATTTTTAAATAATGGAGTCCTTTTTCTGTAGAAGGGGACTAGACCAGCAAGGCTTCCTTATTCAGCTAAGGAACTTGGATCACATAGAGAGCCCCTGTAGGATGTTAAGCAGGGAAGTGACAGATCTCCTTTCAAGAAGGATGTCTCTGGCTACCTTGGGTAGAAGAGCAAAACTTAGAGTAGAGAGACTTGTCGAATGGCCCAGGCAATGGTCCTTCACCTAAGGCAGCAGCAGGGAGTAGGTGGCAAGGGCTGGAGACATTGAAGAGAGAAACTCACATTGCTATCTGAACATTTTCAGGTGTTATTTGAGAGGGAGGATGGAGTTTCAGGAAGTCACAGGTCACTTTTGGGGAATGGAACGGAGGGTAGTGCCATTAATAGAAAATGGAGACCCACCCTCACAAATGTCTCTCTGTCCATTTGGCAGCCAAGTTTGTGAAAATAGGAGCCCTGTCCCCCAGATCTAAGGGTCAGTTGGATGCCCATGCCAGCCTTCCTTTAGGGTCTGCCACAACTGTCTCCTAACAGATTTCCCCCAATTTTGACAGAGCAGCCTTCCTAGGACACTGGGTATAGACCTGTATCGGTCAATTTTTAGTTACTGTAATGAAATGCCTGAGGCTGGGAACCTTACAGAGAAAAGAGGTTTATGATGGTTCACAGTTCTTATCCATGGTCAAGGGGCTGCATCTGGTTATGGCCTTCTTGGCAGTGTCCACGGGCAGCACAAGGGATCACATGGAAAGAGACAAGGAACACATGTGTATGTCTCTGCTGGTCTCTCTTCTCTTAAAGCCATCAATATTCAATCCTGGGAACTCCACTGGGATGAACTTATCCAATTCTAATCACCTTCCAAAGGCCTTGCCTCTAAACCCTATAGTTAGATTAAGTTTCTACTCTCTTAATACCTCCCAGTGGAGACTAAATTTTAGCACATGAGCCCTTGGGGGACACACTCACATCATGTGCAAACCATTCTGTCCCTGACCCTTAGGTTCATCCTTCTCTTAATGCAATCCACTCATCCCAATCTCAACAGTCTCAGAGTCTTAACTTGTTCCAACGTTAATTCAAACGTCTGAAGTATCATGTGAGACACAAGGCAAACTCCTTGCAGTTGTGAGTCTGTAAAATCAAGACAGGTTGTCTATTTCTATGATGCAATGGCAGGGCAGGCACAGGGTAAGCATTCCTCTTCCAAACGGGAGAAATAGGGAGACAGAAAGCAATTAGCCCAGAGCAAGGCCAATGCTCAGGAGGGCAGATGTTAAATTCTACAGTTCCAAGTCCGGCATCTTTGCATAATGCAGAGAGGGCTGGGCTCCTAGGGCCTTGGTATGGCTTTCTGGCCACAGCATGTGGTCACTCTCTCATGTAGCCCTCTTCAGTGGGAACTGCATATGGCTCATGGCTATACTTTCTGGGGTCCCTGCTGAGTTTCCACTCCTATGGCTCTGCTAGGCATTGCCCCCTGGGGGACTCTCTGCAAGGGCTCTGACCCAGTGACTAACTTCTGGCTGGCTTCCCACTGTTTCCTTTGAAATCTCAATGGAACCACCATGATACTGTAAAAGCACTTGCATTCTGCACACCTGCAAATTATCACAACACCGAGATCCCAGTCTAGCACTGGCACAAGCTGCAACCAGGCCTGCTTGACTTCAGGCCTTTTTCCAGTTGTTCCCAATGCAAAGGAACTGGCTTGTTTTCATCCCCTAATCACTTTAGCAGTGGTTTTTCAGCCACACCCTTACATGCCTTTCTTAGCTCCTTCCTTGGCCAGGCTGTGAATTTTCCAATTTTTTCTTCTGTGCTCATTTAGCTCCTGACCTCACTGTGAATCTGACTAAAAGCCAATAATGCCCATGCTGTAGACTGAATGCTTTGTTCTTTTGAATCTTCTTTACAAAATAAACTAATCAATCTATCACCTTTAAATTGGGTTTTCCACAAAGTGTTGGTCATAAGAATTGCGCAGAAACAATATAGCCAGGTACTTTGCTCCTTCATAACAAGGATGACCTTTCCTTTAATTTCCAATGGGATCCTTATTTCCAGCTGAGACTAATTCCCTAGTATCGTCTGCTGAACCATCACCAAAAAAGTCAACAATGTCTCCTTATAGCAACACAGGCTTTTTCCAGCCTACTCCTCCACATCCCTCAAACCTCTCCCCATTACCCAATTCCAAAGCCATTTCCACAATTTCAAGTAATGACCCCACACTCCCAGTACCAGTTTTGTGTATTAAATGTTTGTTTGTTTGGTATCGGGGATCAAACTCAGGACCTTCAGCTTGCAAGGCAGGCAGTGGAACAACTGAGCTAAATCCCTGGCCCTCTATATTGTTTGTTTACTATATTTGAGCTGGGAAATTATGAAAAAAAGAGGTTCATTTAGGCTTGAAGTTCTGGTCCAAGGTCAAGGACCTACATCTGGTGGTAGCTTTCTTGCTGGCAGAGTCCCGAGGGAGGGGAGGGCATCACATGACAAGAGAAAGAGAACAGATGTGTGTGTCTCTGCTGGTCTCTCTGCTTATAAAGCCACATGGACTCAATCACAGGGGCTCCACCCTGACAACCTTATCTAATCCCCACCTCTGACCACCATAGTCAGCTTAGGGTTCCACCTTCCCAATCCCTCACAAGCACGGTTAAATGTCAGCACATGAACCCTTGGGGGACACACTGAAATCATATGCAAACCATGACAAGGCCTTTGGAGGACACACATTCCTCGTGACCTGGTTCTCACTTGGTCTTATGTTTTGTGCGGTTAGGCCACTGATGTAATTTTGGTTCAAAATATTACTTAGGCGTGGATTTCTTTTCTGAATTAATGTTTAATGTCATATGCAATCTATGGGTAAATTGCAAAAATCTAATTCATCAAGGAGCTAATTTTAGAAGTTGGTCGATGAGTGCAACTCATCAGGATGTTTCACAACCTGGTCTGTTCTCTCTGGTAACACAGCAGAGGGACAGAAGCTTTCACACTGCTGCAGGTTGGAGTGTGATGGTTAATCTCACACACCGATTTGACTCAGCTGTACTCAGCTGTGGGTCAAGCACCAGGGAAGATACGGCTGGGAAGTATTTTTTAAGATGTGACTAACATTTAAATCAGTGGGTTTGCAGTAAGGCAGATTAGTGGGTAGGCCTTGTGCACCCAGCTGAAGGCCTTAACAACAAAGACTGAGATGTCTCTAGAAAGGAATTCTCTTCAAGGCTGCAACATAGGAATTCTGCCTGTGTTTCCAGCCTGCTGTCCTACAGAATTTGGACTGAAGATTGCAACATCAACCTCCCCTCGTTTCCAACCTGCCAACCTGCCATGCAGATTTCAGACTTGCCAGTCCCATGCTCTTGTGAATCCATTCCTTGCGATTGCTCTTTCTCTCCATCCCCTCCATATATACATACATACGCACGCCCTATTGTTTCTGTTTCTGGCCAATCATACAGGATGCCTTTGATGGATGGAGCCATCAGGCCCATATTATGGCATCGGCTCCTTGCTCCAAATCACAAACTTCTAAGAAGACTGATGCACTGAGCTCTTCTTGACACTCACCACTCTAGATCCAGTCTGGCCTCAAGACCTTGAACTGGACTTTCACTCTGCCTGGGCACTGATTCTTGAATGCCTGCAGGCTCATGCCCTTGCCTCGTCTGAGTCTGCTTGGCACAGCCCTCACAGAAGCGGCTCCTCTCTGCAGCGCCCCCAGCCTTTCCCACCTCCCTTCCTGGCTAGCTTTTCCCCTCAGATTTATCTGCACCTGATACATGACATAAACAATCATCCCTTGGCGGGAGATAAGTTCAGTTCCTTATCGAAATGGTGCAGAATTCGCATCTAACCTATGCAATCCTCCCATATACTTCAACTCCTTATAATACCTCATACAATGTAAAAACTATAGAAGTACTTGGTATACTGTATTGTTAACAGAATTTTGATAAGGAAAAAAATCTGTACATGTTCAATATGTGCAAATTTTTCTAAATCTTTCCAACCTGTGATTGGTTGAAGCCACAGAAGTAGAAGCCACAGAAGTAGAACCCACAGCTATGGAGCAGTAAATGTATCAGTTTCTTTCTCATCTGTTTTCTTGTGGCCTCCTCCTCTGCTGCTGGAAGATCAGATCCATGACTGTGCCAACTGTGTTGGTCACTGATGGCTCCCCACTGCCTAAAACAGGGCTCTGTGTACAGCAGGAGCTCCATAACTGCTTGATGTGCAATGACTGAACAGACGCCAGATTCAGGAACATGGGACAGAAAGAGGCTTGCTCATGGTGGGTCAGTAGCTCCTGCCCTTGACTTTCCCTGCAATCTGGGTACTGGCCAGACAGCAGCTTCCTTCCTTGGGGACCCAGGACCCTAATCCGCTCAGTCAGCCCCTGATCACACCCACATAGGCACACATACCAAAAGGGGGCAGCCTCTCTGCTTCGGAGGAACACACGTCCCTCTCCTGCATCCTCCTGCCGTAGGTCGCGGAGTAGATGTTGAGAAACTTGGACTCGTGGCAGTGCAGCTTCAGCTCCTGGTCCTCACACACGGTTTTGTTTTTTAATTCATCTGAAGCAGAAATAAAAAATCAGCGGCACCACCAGCTTCCCTAGGATGGAATCAGGGAGGATTGCCCAATCCTGGCCACTAATTCAAGCTGCTGGGCTCAGAGAAGTGGACAGTCAGGATGGCCCCACCTGTAAACAAAGCCTTCTCCAGGAAGCAGGAGGGGACAACCTGCTGACAGTGCCAGGATCCCTGGAGTTACACTAAGGTGCGAAACGGGGAGACAGACCAGGTGCAGCACAGGGCAGTTTAGGTCCCAGGGAGGACTGGGCCATGTAGGAAGTTTCTCGCCACTCACTTGGGGTCCCAGACTCCTTAACTGAATGAAGGATGCCTTTCTCAGATGTTGACTTGGGACTCAAAAGGGGGAAAACTCGAGAGAAGCACCTAGGTAAACCTCAGCACTGACTCCACAGCCAGCTCACAGTGAGTGTGAGCGCAAGTGTGTGCATGTGCATGTGCTTGAGTGTGTGTTTAAAAGGAGAGAAGAGAGCAACTAAACGAGCTTCTGTCTCAAAATAAAAAAATTTTTTGAAAGGGGCTAGAGGTATAGCTCAGTGATAAAGCCCTCGCTAGCATGTATGAGATCCCGGATTCTATCTTCAGCACTGAAAAACAAACAAACAAACGAAAAGACAGATAATATTAAAGCAAATTATTCTGGGGGCCAGGAAAAGGACAAAAACAAGGGTGAAGTCCACCCTAAATCTAGTAATTCAGGAACAACTGCCCCTCAGGGCACTCTAGGCTGGGATCATCGGAAACAAGTGTGCGTTGTTCACAAAAAATGTAGGGGAAAGTTTACCAGAATAAAATCTTTCTTTGCAATGTCATTCAGTGGCATCATAAATGCCCTGCAAAAAAAAAACCCCAAAAACATAGACTATTGATTTTTTTAGGGTGCATCCCAAAACTACTCAATTAATACAAATTTTAATAATGATTTTATTTTTTAAAGTAGTAATTGCTAATATTCCAGACACAAAGGACTGCTTATAATGATTCTATTTGCAGTAGGTACCCCCCAAATCCAAAATTTCAGTTACTCATGGTCAACCACAGGCTGAAAATATTTAATTCTAGAGAGATGAACTACATTCACATAACTTTTTTTTCTTTTTATTTTTGGTACCGGAGATCAAACTCGGGTCTTTGCACTTGCGAGGCAGGCGGCAGAACCACTGAGCTAAATCCCCGGCCCTCACATAACTTTTATTACAGTTGTTGTTATAATTGTTCTATTTTATTATTGTTGTTAATCTCTCATTGTGCCTAAGTTATAAACAAAACCCTAGCATGGGTATGTATATGCTTCAGGAATCCCCTGCGGGTCTTGAAATGTACCCCCACAGAGGAGGCAGAGCTACTATGCTGTTATGTGTCACTCGATAACAGGGATATGTTCTGAGAAATGTCACATTAGGGAATTTCATCATTGTGTGTCTAGAGGGTGTACTTACACAAATCAAGATGGCAGAGCCCACCATGCATCCAGCACATATGGTATAGCCCATTGCCCCTGCACTACAAATCTGTACAGCGTGTCCCTGTACTGAACACCATGAGCAACTATAACACAAAGGAGAGTATTTCTGTACCTTATCTAAACACAGGAAAGATATAGCAAAAATACTAGATGACGGGAAATTTTCAGCTCCATTATAATCTTATGGGACCACTGTCATATATGTGACCTGTCATTGACTGAAATGTCCTTATGAGACACATGACTATATACAAAATATCCAGAAAAGGTAAGTCTTTAGGGGATAGAATGTAAATTAGTGGTTTCCTGAGACTGGAGGTGCCATCAAGGAGTGACAGGAAATGGACACAGGAAACTTTTTGAGATGAAAGGAATGTTTTATAGCTGGATTGTAGCTGTGGGTGTACAACTCACCAAAGGTCCTCAAATTATACATTGAAAATGGGAGGCTTTTATGTTATACAAATTATACCTCAATTAAGATTTTTTTTATCAGTCTATGTTTGTAATACAGAGCAGTGATATTTGTTTGGGGAAATTGGTACATGCATATAACATATCTTGATTATTTTTTTAATCCCTTTACCTCTCTCCCTTATAAAATGAGTAATAACTAATACTCATTGAGCAGGTTCTCTCCACTAGACTCTGTTCTAAGAGCTTTAATTGAACTAAATAAATTTAATATTCAAAAGAGCCCCACTGTAGGCTGCTTCTTCATACCCTTTGCATATTGCATGTTGACTTTCAGCAATTGTTTGGAGAAGTGAATCATATACTCTAAATGTTAACTTCTATCATCTGTGTCAGAAAATATTCCCATGGGGGCTAGGGATGCAATTCAGTGGCAGAGTGCTTGCCTAACATGTGCCAAGTCCTGGGTTCAACCCCCAGTGCTACAAAACAGAAAAAGGAAGGGGAGAAAAAGATCTTTTTCTGGGTTGTCATTGTAAATTTTGCAAAATAAGAGCAAAGCAAACACATAAAGGCTACCATGGTCATTTATTTGCAATACATACTAGGCTTATGGCAGCTGGCTGGATCTTTGTAGCCCAGAATCAGTGATGCTTAAGCTCAAACTTAAAACATGAAAGAAAATAATTTCCAAACACAAGCCCCACCTCTCCATAACTTGCAAATTCCCATGACTTTCTACCAAAACCAGAAAAGCAGCTGAGGACCAAACCTTTGGGCTACAGGAAGGAAAACTTCAGGGTCTCAAGAGGACCACCAGCTTTAGTGCTGCTAACCCTCAGCACTACTCTGAATCCTGTCACCCCCCTGTAGCCACAGTTTTGATTTCTATGGCTTTAGCTACCTACAGTCAACTGTGGTCCAAAATTTTAAATGGAAAATTCTAGAAGCAAACAACTCATAAGCTTTACGTTGTGCACTCTACTGAGTAGCATGCTGAAAAATTTGCTGTCTGGCTGTGTCCCACGCAGGACACAAACTATCCCTTTTTTCCAGTGTACCCACAGTATATATGCTCCCTGCCATTAGTCACCGAGGGGCTGTCTTGGTTATCAGACTGATTGTCGCAGTCTTAGTGCTTGTCTCCAGATTACCCTCATTTTTCTTATACACGGCCACACAGCTTTAGAGTATTGAGCTGGTAGTTTTATTATAGTATGTTGTTATAATTGTTTTACTAATTGCCCGTTTTTCTTAATCTCTTACTGTGCCTAATTTATAAATTAAACTTTATCATAAGTATGCATGTATAGAAAAAATGTAGTATACAGAGAGTTTGGGCATCCCATGGGGGACTTGGCATATCAGTCAGGGGGATAGATACTACTGCACATGAAACGGGAACATTTCAGAGCAGAAACTGGGTTACAAATGTTCACAAACCCCCCACACTCTCTGGTCATTGAACACACAGAAGAACCACCATGGAGAGGGAAACTAAACCAGTGGCTAAGGAAATGTTTAGAGGGCCTTTTGCCTGCTCCTTAGAATCTTAGCGTTACTTGGAGCCAAGGACAGTTTTGTTGTCTTTTTCTAAACAAAAACAACACCGACTCTCCCTGGGTTAGAGTCATCAGGGTGAGCCGTGTCCTCCACAGTGGCAGGAGTTTTTGGCTTGGTTTATGAGTAGAGGCTAAATCTCACCAAAACCAATGTTTTGCCCAACTTCAAAGGCCCAGGTTAAATGCCTGCATTTGGTGTAGACAGGAGGGCATGGGAGTCACACCACGGAGCTCAAGCCCCCTCCCAGCCAGCAACAGTTCGTCCAGTTAAGGGCAGGAGAAGGTGGGAGAAAATCCAAGCTTTAGCTCAGAAAACTGGAAACTTTAATGGCACTAGCTTTTTTTTTTCTTTTTTCTTTAACTCAGGATTTTTTTTTTTAATCACAAGAGCATTTTCTTTGTAAGCTTGTGGTGAAATGCACTTAGTAGCCACCTGTCCTTGATTTATTAAAGTCCATTCGTTGAAAGTGGCCTTGATGGAAGCAAAACCCACCCAGTGTAACACAACACCCACAGGTGGGCCCTCCAGAGATCATGTCCCCAGATTACAGGCACATCATCTCCTGGAGCAGGGAGCCCCTGTGTGTTGCCTTACGTCCTTGGGGTTACTGCTGTATGCTGCTGAGTCACTTGGTTCCCCGGAATGTGCTAACTCACTGTCACCTAAGAGTGACATTTTGGGGCCCTAAAAGACAATGGGGCTGCTGACATAAGTGCCACTCTTCTTAAAGGACTAGAATTTGTTACGGAGCTGGATTCAGAGCTCTCACTAGGTCTCGGATTAGAGGCGTGGGCAGCCTTCCAGGAGTGGGTCATCAAAATTCCTGTGGCCACCGATGGAAAGAGCAACAGGAGCTTGGGAAGAGGACAGAATCACGATATGGCTTAGAGGACAACAGCAGTGAAATTCTCCTTCCTACTTCTACCAATTACAGGGCTATATGGGCCACCCAGTTTCTTTAATAATACACACCCACAGGCACCCTGACTTGCAGCAGGGCTGTGTCCCCATAAATCCATCACAAGTTAAAATATTGTAAGTCTTCTTTGGTTTTTGTTTTTTCAGCCCTGGGGGGTTGAACTCAGTGGGACTCCGCCATTGAGCTACAGCCCTTTTTGTGTTTTTTGTGTTGAGATACGGTCTTGCTAAGTTAAGTTGTCCAAACTGAATTCAAACTTGTGATCTTCCTGCTTCAGCCTCTTTGAGTACTAGGAGTATAGGCATGCACCACTGTGCCGGGTTTGTAAGCCTTAAAAAAAACCCAACAGAAATAGGGTTTTTTTCCCTTTTAAAATAAATCAGAATTTAATGCGTTTAACACCTCTGACCTTCTGAACCTCATAGCTTAAGAGCACAGTGCCCTACCGAGTATCTGTTGCTCACAGTTGTGATCGGATGACTGACTGGGAGCTGTGGCTTGCTGTCACCACCCAGAATTGCAGGAGAAGATCCTATTGCATATGGCTGGTTCAGGGAAAGATCAGAACTCAAAACTCACTGCATGCAATCCCCAGCACCAAAAAATAAAATAACAAAAAATGAAAATACAAAGCATGGTTTCCACCGAATGTGTATCACTTTCGCACCACCATGAAGTTGAAAAACCCTAAATGCCACTATCCTAAGGTGGGGACATTTGTACACATTTGCCTATCAGCAATGGCCTTTCAAAGGTGGCAGGGGGAATGGTCTGTCTGGATAAGGGTATTTGATTACCGGCATTGGTTGTGATTGCCCGTGCATGGTGGTAGTAAAATGCAGGCAGACGTTGGTCTCTTGTACTGTGTTTTAAACTCTGCACAGGCAGAGCACCCTGCCCTACACCCAGGACACACCATGCCACTCCCCACCTCTGTCCTTGGTACATCATTACTGCCTTTCAGTCATTCACAGCTTTGGCAAGAATTACCTTAATCTGCATATTGGGATAATAGCTACCAATGACTGAGCTCAATTCCATAGTAAGTCCTGGGCTAAGCATTTTCCCTATGACCCTGCATATTTACAGTCTTCTCCATACCCCTGTATGGAAGAGGCATCATCTTCATTTACAGCAATTACCCTTACACTGTCCAGATCACACAGCAGCTGACAGCAGAAAGGGATACGAACCCAGAACTGCCTAAATCCCCATCTGATGAAACCAACACTCCCTGAAAGGTTGAGATTTGAGGAGTGGAAGGAGCATGAATTACATTAAGGAAAAAAGTTTCTGGTGAGGACTGGCTAGCTCTCTGAGAAGCCAACCAAGCCACCCTGATTTACAGGGCTTGCTGATTCCCCTGGTGGGAATGTTGCCCCCGAGGCCAGATTCACAGAACACAGGCAGAGCTGGGAGAGATGTGCATAATCGCTCTGCACATTACAAGATGCAGTGGTAGCCAATCCGTGGGTCGTGCAGAGGTGGGACTGGGGAGATGAGAAGAGCCCCAGGAAGTAGGAGGGCTGCAGCTAAAGAGACAGGGGATGTAAACAATGTCTCGCTTCCACCTGTCAAACTTAGAGGCCTCAGGGCTGCCAAAGTCTAAATCACACGGGGTTTTGGCCCCATCTCTTCTCCGTAGGCAGCTGGGGTGGCTCCACAACCTCATCAAGGCAGACAGACTCCAAACCCCCTCCTTGACTGTGAGGGCCCTGGATCCTGCCCCTGCCCTCCTGCCTTCCTCAATGGCTGTGCCAGGGCACTTGCCTCCTCCAACCTCGAGCCTCAGGATGGGCTGCTCTTCCTGTGCTCTCCCACCTCCGTTCCTGCAGTTTTCAGCTGCATCATCACTTGCTCAGGAAAATGCCACTGAACCATTTACAGAGGTCAGTGCCTTCTATGAGCTGCCCACACGGTTTCAAGTGCCTCTGTGGAAGCCCTGACCCATTCCGAATCTTGCACGCATTTCTGTGATTCCACCTTGAACTTGCAGTCCCGCTAGACTGTGAGCTCTGGTTACCATATCTGGCTTCTGCTGGGTGAGCATTTGCTCCATAAATGCACTCAATTCCCACACTGTGCTGGGCTCACAATGGTGAGCAATGGAGTCCCTGCCATCTGGATGGCTTACAGTTTTGATGGGGGTACGTGTGTGTAAAGTAACCCACAAGTCACAAATGAGCAGGGTAAATCCAAATGGTTTTCATAAAAAGAAGCAACGGTGGGGGCATGAGAGTGGCAGGGTCTTCATTCTATGTTTTTCTCTGTTTGTTTGGTACCAGGGAACGAGCTCAGGACCTTGCGATTTCGAGGCAGGCAGGGGAACCACTGAGCTAAATCCCTGACCCTTCATTATATATTTTTGGACAAAGCAAATCACCCTAGAAAGGTGTTCTTTGGCTGGAACCTAAGCAATGGTAAGGAGGGAGCTCTGTGGAAGCTCAGTGAGCAGTCATTGAATGAAGGGTGCAAACTGCTCTGGAAGGGGAGTAGGAAAAGGAGAGAACCCCCATGCAAGAAGACTTGCAAGATGAGATCTCTTCAAACCCAAACCTGGCCCAACAGCTGTCCACAGCAGATGCTTAGTAAGTGTTGGCTGAGATGAAATTAATAAACAGACGACGGTGGCCCACCATTGAAGTATCCAAGTGCTACGGTTTGAATGCAGTTTGTCCTCTCGGAAACTCATGTTGGCGTTTAATCCCCACTGTAAAGTATTAAGATGGTAGAAACTTAACCAGACTATGGAGTTTAGACGTGGGGCCTTTGGAGATGTTTAGGATTAAGTCATCCATGTAGAGCTCCTATGACTGAATAACGGTAGCTCTATAAGGAGGGGGAGAGGCCAGTGGAGGTACACACACACACACACACACACACACACACACACACACACACACATACACACACACACCCTGTTTCTCACCATGTGATGCCTGGAGCCACCTCGGGATTCTTCCCCAAGCCATCATCAGGTGTAGGCCTTTGACCTTGGACCAGAACTATGAGCCAAAATAGACCTCTTTTTTTATATAACTTACCCAGCCTCAGGAAACTCATTATAATAACATAAAATGGAGTAAAACACAAAGGATCTGCCAGTATTACACAGACCACTTGATGCCCCTAAGAGCTTCGGTTTTTTCCCAACATTTTACTACAAAAAATTTTAAATGCCTAGAAAACGTGAAAGATACACAATAAGCAGCTATATCCTCACCACCTGGATTCACCAACTGCTAACATTTTGAACAAGGGCGGCTTTTGAGTGGGATATTCTTTTTCACCATGAAGGAGGGAAGTGGAGGATAGAAGGAAAAAAAGAATGAAGGCAAAGCTCTTGGAAGTCGAGGGCACAATCAAGGGCATCTTGTTTTTGAGATGCAGCTGCAGGAGGGCCACAAAGGGCATGGAGACCTGGAGGTGATTTTCCCAGGCCCGGCAACTGAGCCTGGAGTTGGTGGGACACCTGGTGGCTCCCAAGGGAAGGTTAGGTTGCTCTGCAGTGTCCTGGCCTATGTGTGGATATTTGTGATTGTGTATGCATGTGAGTGTGGGTGGGTATGTGTGGTTGTGTGTATGTGTGTGCATGTGCAAATGAGTGTATGTGATAGTATGGATGTGTGTGATCATGTGGATGTTTGAGTGTGTATAATAAGGCATGTGTGCATGATAAAGTGTGCACGGCTGTTGGGTGTATTGGGAGTATGTGATTGTGTGTCCACCGACACAGATGTGTGAGTGTGAGTGTGTGTGAGTGAGCAAATGTGTATGTTCAGCTGCACAGTACTGGGGTACAGCTCCAGGGGCAGGCCCAAGGTAAGAGAGAAGCCTGGATATTCACTGAGAGGATCAGGAATCTTTCAGGAGCACGGGGTGTCCCCCACCTCCAGCTCCTAGGCCCCACTTCCGGGGAACACTGAGTTCCCTGGTCGGAACCAACAAGGAACAGAGCACAGAGTCAAAATGGCTGGGTTGGGGTGGTGGTGGGAATTGTAAAAATTATTATCCTGCGTGTTTTGGTTAAGTCATTATCATTTTCCTTCAACACTGTGTTTGTGAATGTCTCTTGCTGCAGTTACCTGGGGTTTCTCCCAGGCGTGTCCTCCACATGTGGAAGCTGATTCTCTCATCGAACAGTGATGGCTTCTGCCTTACAAAAGTGATCACTTCTGGTTCCTCAAAACCAAAGTGCCACAAAAATGGCAAAAGGCGATGGAGAAAAGTCCCGGAACCAGAATAAAAGGGACCACTCTGGCCATGTCCCCTCGCATTCTCCTCAGGAACAAACATGGCTAACAGAACCGGGTTACCAGAGCGCCTGCTGGCAATGAAGTGTAGAGGCAGCTCATAAGCACCTGAGGACATGGACTCTGGTGACATTCATGAGGTTGGTCCTCAGGGAATTGAGGAGTCTCCCGATAAGACTGCCTCCAAAGAGCAGAATTTTGAGGGAAAGTAAGAGGAGTTCCTCACGACCCCTATTATTCCTAGCATCAGTACAACTGAGTTTCAGATATTGGGAAATGGTTTAGTTTTAAATTCATGGATTGAGGATGCACATCCCCTCCCCTCCTTCCTATTAACAAAAGTGTCAAAGTTGGACAAACGTCCCGGCCGAATAATTTTCATCAGGAGTGTCAATGAAACCAGGACCCAGCCCCAAAAACCACACTGTCCCCCCTCAGAAGTTACTTACTAGGTTGGCACTTAAAGGAGACCAGGAGGTATTTACTGCTTCCTGGACAAAGGTCAGGTCCAAAGACACGGCTATTGACCAGGAGGTGGCAGGCCCGCTGGTTCTGGCACTCATCCAGCACCTTCTAGAAGGAAGGAGGGGTAGAAAAGGGACAGGCTTGTAAACTATACACAGTCTCTGGCAGCCCCCAAACCTGGGCTGCTCTGGGCTCTGGGAAGTGGGCTCCCTCCCTGTCCAGCCCCAGCTGTACCTATCTGAGGCTGATGGGCTGCTGTCGCTCTTCCCTTTCCCACAGGGAGAAACCTGATCCAGCCCAATCAGCTCCCATGGAGAGCCAGTCCCCAACCAGCCACAGCTGGCAGTATCATTGATTCTTTTGGCAAAAGTGCCACATATGGAGGATCTAGGGGATATGAGTGAGGTCCCATGTTACCTTTGAGTGTTGGGCTGGAGGGGACTTCAAGGAGGAGGGGTCCTCACTTTAGAACCCAAATAACAATGGCCACCAGGAATCATAGTGTAGGTCATCACCCTTAGAAATGGCCCTGCCCAGGCCCCAGGAGCACAGGGTAAGGGAAGGAGGCCTCGGACTCCATAATTCTTTCCAGCTCATGACCAGTAGACAGGTCAACAATAAAAAGTTGATTCCCACACTGACCAAACTCAAGGATACAGGGCCCATGTCTCCCTTGTCCAGCAATTCCCTTAGTAGAATACTGACACATTCTCTTAAGCGTTTGGCCTAAAAGCTTAGACACACACACACACACACACACACACACACACACACACACACCCTGGTTTTTTCCAAACAACTCCTTCATTTGTGAATGAATCTGCCCCTTGGAAGCTCACAGAACATCCCACACTGGTTAACAGAAGGGTTCAGTCTTTCGCTGCTTTTATTCCAGTTCCTAGTTTCCAAACAGAAGTTGGATGAACTCAGAGGTTCCAGGTTTGGTCCTGGTAAAAATTATACCACATACAGTCAAAAAAAGCCCCATGATAGCACAATGTTGAGTTCCTAAAATGAGGGGAGAAGTGTTTCTTTTTTTTTCTGCTTCAAATGTTTGACATAATTTATCAGTTAAAATGTATACGAGCCTGTTGTTATCATATAGGTAAGTTTTCAAGCTAGGAATATACTTTCTTTAATAGGTGCTATTCCAATTTTATATTTCCTCCAGAGTTAGTTTCATTAATTTGTCTTCCAAGGTACTTCTTAGAAGTTGTCCAATATATTTCAAAAAAGATTTTTGAAATATGCTTTCTATATCCTTTTAAATTCTGTGAACTCTGTGGTAATGTCTCCTAGGTCTTGATATTGTAACTTTAAAAATGTATAATTGATATTGCACAACAGGAAGAAAAGGTCTAAAGGAGCAGGGGAAGTGGGAGGGGAAGGGGAAGGGAAAAAAGGGAAAAAATATGAGAAAAGGAAAAAAATGGAAACAAAGTCTTTGCAAATAAGGAAGGGTGGAGGGGGTGAAGGGAAGGCAGGGGAAGGGGAAAAAAATAAGAACCAAGATACTCATGTAATGGTACAAGATCCCAATGATGTAAGTAACCGTATTTTATACCTAAAATGTACCAATAAACTTAATGGGGGAAAAAAGCCCCATGAATCTACTTAATACTCTAGGACTAGATTGAGGAAGTCCCCCGCTAAACCCCAGAGTGGACCCCAGAATAGGCTGTGTCCAAACTGTGTCACAAACTGGAAAATGCAGAGAGGGACTTCCTGTTGGCATTAGTCACGGGCTGGGTCAGTGGTGGTCACCTGTATGGACGTCAACCTGTCCTCTCTCTACCTTAAGCACTGCCCCTCTGAGGAAGCAGTTTACCTCGGCACCTGGTAGTTCAAAGTCCTAAAGGAAAGGGCCTCTTGATCTCTGGATAAAAGGGCAGTGCGTGGGGAGGTTTCTGGCAAACAAGCTCTCTGAACAGCATCAGAACTGTGTTAAAAAATGCCAGCTTGTTGGCCTAATGGAACGTCCTCTTCCCTCAGGGGTACCTGGCCGAGGGAGGGACTCCAGCGTGCAAGGAGTTCATACTTTCACAAAGTAGGCACTTCCGCCCTTTGGGCACTGGCTGACACTATTTTCACGTGTTTAGGAGGGCAGCAGGTAGTGTGGGTAGCAGGGATGAGGGGGCATGACAGTTGGTGGGGAGTGGGGCAGACTAACAGGGACATGGCTCCTGAGCAGAGCACCAAGGGGAAGAACTGGGCTAGGGTGGGTCACATGAGGAAGAAACACATATGGAAGCCATGTCTGGGAAAGTCATTCAAATGCATTCTTTCTGACTACTGGATGTTTTCACAAATCACATGACTACCCAAAGGCAAAGATTCTTGGAACAAAAGCAATAAATAGTGTGAAAAATAGAAAAAGTCTTTACATGTCATATTATTTTTTATCTCTATTCTTTGTACTTTGGGAAGAACAATACAATATGGAAGCTACTTCTATTTATCCTTAGTCCTCTTAGTAAATTTATCTTTATCCACCTTTCCTATGGCAGGCAAAATAAAGCTGACTTCGAACTTAACACCTGCTCTAAACACCCTGCCTTCAATGTTTTCATATGGGATTTAGGAGTCATTAAAAAATCTAAGACCAAGTAACTCGGTAATTTTGGCCAACTAGTTAAATGTTGAGGGAATAAAGATGGTGGAATTGTTGTTTAGGTCATTTGAAAGCCATGAATATTCTAAGGCCATTATTAAAATATTAGTTTTGTCTTTTCCTCTATCAATTCTTCTCCCAAATATGCACCCCAAATGACTTAAAATCCCTTCCCCCAATTCCTAGTTCTATCTAAAAGGACAAATTCAGCAGAGGCTGCTCCAAATAACTCCAAGTGACAACAGCATGATCATCTACAAGGGGGAAGCAAATGATACAAAACAAAAGATAGTCATTGACGTTTTTCTTTCTGAAGTCCCTTGCCTGAGAAGTTGGCTGTGATCTCATATGTCTGCTTCACAGATATAACTTGTAGTTTCCACCAAAGAATCCGCACAATACACTATGCTAGTGTATTTATGGGAGGTGTGGGCCTGATGGTTGAAGCCCAACATGGTTATTCTTTGCTTCACTGCCAGAAGGAGTTTGCCTGTAAGTAAATTCATATTGCAGTTGTACTAGGGTGCTCTCCAACAGGTAGGGATACTATTTGTACTTGTATGGTAAAGACTCATTTAAGAAGCAAATAACAGCTACTTGCAAAATTGGTGATTTGTATGAATAATTGGGATTTTTTTCATGGATCAAGTTTGTTTCACAAATATATATGGGGAAGTTGGGAGAGGGAAGGAGAGAAGCGGGGGAGACAGACAGAGAGAGAGAGAGATTCATTTGATCACTTAACACATCTACAGAAGGTAATACCTGCAAGGTGGTGGATGCCACACAGTTTAAGCTGTCTTCCCTCTGGGATTCAGGCTGATGAGAGCTACACATTTGGTAATCTTGCCCATAAAATGCTGATTGGACACTTATCGTAGAATGCCGAGGGCACTGGAGATTCAAATGGTCCCCATCACAGGCATAGGCAGTGTGGTTTTGCAGGAGTTTGGTTAGGTAACCTGGAAAATATTCAGCCGCGTTACAAGTGGCCCAGGAACCCATCTGTCCTTCATGGATTTAGAAGCAGGAGGACATCAGTGCCCTGGAGAAGGGGCTGCTGGGTCTGGAAGATGTGGGATGTGACCTCCATAGAGACTGATCTGAAGAGGTCCCCAAATGTGGCCTGGAGTTGGGGCTGCAGAAGCAGGCAGCTGTCATGGCTGGGCCTGGAGCCTTGCTCTGGGGTGGCCCATTGTGAGGCAGGGAGGGCACTTTCCCCTTCAGGAAGCACTTGGGGGTTGGCCAGGAGCCACAGAGTAAAAGCTCCTTTCTAAAGCAGGAAAATAGGCTGAGTGGGTGTCCCTAGGCATGTGGGTGCCCGTCATGAAGGAGACTTGCATTCCCTGATCTCCTAGGCCTTCCCGGAGGGAGAGGTGGGGTTCTACCTCAGGACACCACTCCCGGCCAGCGTGGCCCTGGACAGGAAAGCCTGGCAGTGCTCTCTGGGGTGTGCAAGGCCTGCCGGGAAGACATGTGCTATGGTGGGCCTTGCTGTGGACTGAATAGTGTTTACCAGGAACCTCAGAACATGACCTTATTTGGAAACAGGGTCACTGCAGATATAATCAGTTAAAATGAAGTCACACATAAAGCAGGAACCCTAATACCATATGACTATATACTTCCTTAAAGAGGAGGAGGAGACTCGGAAGGAAGACAGCCGTGTGAAGACTAGTGGGATGCATCTACAAACCAAAGGAAGCTGAGGATTTCCAGCCAGCACCAGAAGCTGGGAGAGGCAAAGATGGATCCTCCCCAGAGCAGGGAGAAAGCAAGGCCCTATCAACAACTTGAGTCCTACTTGCACCCTCCAGAGCTAGGAGAGAATGAATTTCTCATGTGTTCAGCCACCCAAGTTTTAGAAATCTGTTGCAGCAGCCACAGGAAACTAAGCCAGGCTCCCAATCCCAGCGACTTCAGATGCTTCTCAGGCAAGTTGAGGAAGCCATGCTGGGCCTATGCTTTGAGGAGCTCTAAGGAAGGGCTGGTAGGCCTTGGGATCTGGATTGTTTCTCAGAAAGGAGGAAGGAAGTTTCATCCAAAATGTAGATTCCTTCCTCCTTCTCACACCTCACAAGGTCAACAGCAAGGCTGCTGGGAGCACAGCCAGGGACTTTTTGGTGAGGTGTGTGGGAGACACGGCTGGCAGCCGTGGGCCTCTGAGAGGGAGGAGCTAGGGAGAGGGAGGGCCATTTCAGAATGCCCCGATTCCCACACCCATGACCCATGCTTCCTTTACTCCTGCTCAGTTTCCAAATCTTCTCAGAAACATAATTCCTGGCAAGAGTCACCCAGGCCAGCTCCCTGGGCTTCCAGGAAACCCACAGTCTAAGAGACCAAAGCAGTCTGGTAGTCCCATTTGCCCATCCACGGTGTTCTGAGGAAGGAAGGCTGTGAACAGCTACAGGCAGGCTTGACCCAGATCTGAGCTCCACTTCTGAACTTCTTTTATTTCCACCCTTGAAAACTACTGGGAGAATGATGGTGAAATCAGCTACCCTGAGTTAAGTTCACTTAGGGAAGCAAAGCTAACCAGAGCAGCAGAGGAACATCTGGCAGCAACGTGAGTCCGAGTGTCCTGCTCGCCACAAGAACACCATCACCCTCACGGTGCACCCTGCCAGGCTGAAACTCCAAGATCCTGGGCTGCAAAGTCTCCCTGTAGGGAACCCACATGGGCTCTGCTAAAGTGCTGAGCGCTGAGCACTGGGCCCCCTTCATGGGGTCTCAGCACCCTATTGTGAGCTATACTCTGCCTCAGGAACTCGGGGCCACACCAGTGCTCCCTCTAGGCAAGCACCCACCCTGAAGCGCCCTTACTTAGCTCTCTTCAGGCTTCTTTTCGGAATGTTCTATCACCACATCATTCCCAGAGCCCTGCTGAATGGCCAGCTGACTACAGTGTCATAGTAATTCTCAGACATGACTGGGTTAAAGTTCCCAGTTTATCCTCAAGGCCATATGGGTAACTAGCTAAAAGAAATGGCAAGGCTCTCAGGGTAGCAGAGCCAGAAGACAGAAGGCACCTTGGTCCCAGATTCCTGCCTGCTCCACAGACCACTACATGGGTGAGAAGGAAACTTGGCCTGGGCTGGGCCATTACCTTTCTTCATGCTATTGCCACACTAAACATGCCAAGCCCACTAAACAGAACTGGCTCTCTTGGGACCATTTCCATCAAAACACCCATGCACAGAGCAGCAGGCAGCCTAAGCCTCCCACCCCCACCACCTATCATATCCTTATTTGGTGAGTGTTACTCTGTAGGCAGAAGCTCAAAAGGTTAGGAAGAACTACTACAACTTCCCATTCATTTAAATAACATGGAGCACTTGAAAGATCATTTTTGGGTAGTGAGTGGGAACATAAACCTGTCTAGAAAAGGTTGAAAAATGAATGGAAGTTGGGAAAATCAAAATGGTGCTTCTGATAGGCAGAATAATGCCTCCTAAGGATGTCTACAGGTCTTTACTCCAGGGCATGTGATCATGTGACCTTACATTGTGCCACTGTGCACTGCAGATGTGATTAAGCCAAGGCTCTTTACGGAGAGTTTATCTTGGGTTATCTGGAAGTGCCTAACATAATCACAAGTTCTTAAAGGGAGATAAGCATGAGAGTGAAAATAAACAAAAGGCTCAACAATGGAACTAGGGTTGGATGGATGCAGCGGTGTGTCCAAGTGTGTAGACAGCTTCTAAAAATGGTAAAAACAAGAAGACAGCCTGGACAAAACCTTCATTTTCGACTTTGACCTCCAGAACTGTAAGATTAAATTTTTGCTATTTTAAGCCACTACGTTTGTGATCATTTGCTCCAGCAGCCATAGGAAACTAATACAGTTAATATAAATGAGGATTACAACAACCTGATGAAGCTAAAAGAAGTGGGGCTATAGGGCTATAATTGTAAGAACTGATGTTCGGGGAGGATTTTTAAATGACTGGTTGAATTAAAGGTGGAAGAAGCCCATGCATATATGCATGTGTATACATAAATATGTATACAGATGAGTCTTAGGTGATGTGTAAAGTATAATTCTTCACATGGGTTGAGGTCCAACAAGTTTGAAAGTGAGGATTGGCCAGAGACTACTTGAAATGATGGGCCGTGGGCTCTGATCTAAATACAGGGAAGGCAATGAGAAGAGGAGAGGGCCGAGGGCCAGAGGATCAGTTCTGCTGAGGGCCAGCAAGGCCAGACTGCGGCAGTCATACCAGCAAGCTGGAGGGGCAGGCGGTTGTATCCAAAAGTCCTCTGAGGGTAGAGCAATTGCAGGTCATAGAAATGTCCAAGAGTGGCCAAAGCGTACAAGGGCTGCATGGAGAAGGTTGCTGGAAACAAGAATGACAGGATGAAGAGTGAAGATGGGCTCAGGATCAAGTGCACCCCAGGATGGAGGTGGGATTAAGGGTGGAACAGCAGCCTTCTACCAAGACTGGCCTTGAACAAAGCACAGATAACAGATGAACCACCCCCAGTCTAATTTCCTTTGCAGTGCGTTTCTGTTTTCCCAATGACCAACCCCGTTTCCAGTGGGCTGAGCACTTTCGACAAGACACTTAGCTTCCCCACACCTTGGTTTCCTGGCTGGTTCAAAAAAGAACATTAAAACAAAACAAAAACCAGCTACTAATGCAATTATGGGTTAATATCTGTCTGGATCAAATTTTCCACTGTATCAAAAATGCTTTTTTTCTTTTTTTGTACCAGGGATGGAACTCAGGACCTTGCACTTGTGAGGCAGGCAGTGGCATCACTGAGCTAAATCCCTGGCCCGAAAATGCTTTATTTCTTAATAGTCTCAGCCAGACTTTTTACAATCTAACTCTGTGTTTATAGGCAAGTATTTACTATCCTAGAAGAAGATGATGAAAGTACACACTTAAAAAGTCAGGCCTTGGAGTCCAGTACAGCCTGAGACACTGGGGTGATCCTCGTTAAAGGATGGAAAAGGGGGCTAATGGGAGGTCACAGACTGTGTCCCTCACATAGTTCAGGGATCTGAGAAGAGCTGAGGACGAACTCCAAGATCTTCTGTTCCCTCTTCCCCACTGTGGATCAGCAGATACTCCTACAGCTACAACCAGGCTGGAGCCTTTCTCAAAAGATCTTGAAAGGCTTGGATTGGAAAGATATTAAGAGTAGTTCAGATAAAGATTTTTATGTATTCATTTTTTAAACAAAGAGGAAGAGTTCCTGGGAAATGAGCTCCATGACCATTAATCATGATATGTCAACTTAAGTGGATTAGAAACTGCCTCGCAGATTAATAAAGCAGAGTGCTTGCTGGGTGTGTCTGTAGATGATTGGCATGGACATCAGCAAACAGCACAGGAGACCCAGATGGGTTGTGGGTGGCAAAAACCAATAGGCTTATAGCCTGGACAGAATAACAAGGGAAAGAAGAAGGAAGCTGCCCCGTTTTGAAGAGCTCCAGTCTTTCTGAGAGGGTCCATCCTCTGCTGCCATTGACTCTGGTCTCCAAGTCTCAGTTTCTTCAGCCTTTCAACTAAGACTTGTGATCCCCAGTGAGCTTGCTGGCCTTTGACCTTGGACTGGTGCTGTAAGCTTGATCCCTCTTATTCTACAGCTTCCATCTTCTGGACTGAGCCGCTGGTGGATCTGTGGCTCTCCATTGCATACTCTCCCACCCCTGATCCCGTAAGCCTGCCTAACAAATCCCTGATATATTATACATATATTTTCTATTAATTCTGTTTCTCTAGAGAATTCTGATAACAAGTCCCTAAACAGCAACAGGAACACTCCTCCATCTTCAGAAAAATATCGAGAAACCATCCTTGGGATCATCATCCCCATCATATTGACAATGAAAACTCATTTGCGTACAATGTAATGACTAGAAGAACAACCAGGATGATGTAAAGGACTGATTTTCCACTAATCATGGCAAGTGTCCGTCCCAAAGCGTCCTGGGGAAAAGTGGGTTACACAG